CAATGATTAGGTTATGAAACAACTCTTTCCTATCTCTTTTGAACTATTCAGGCTTTAAACAAATTTGGGCTGAGAAAGTGTCAAAATTCACAGTAGGTGTGCCCATTCAGAAAGCCACTTCCCTCTCTCTGAAGTGTGATGCTGCATTCACCCAGGGAAATTTCTAACAAACTATAATTAGATGGCTAATTAAAAAGTAGATTATCAACTATATTAAAATAGACTAGAAAGATGTTTATATCATTTATTCCTTAATGTTGTCAATCCACCTTTTCCTTAATATGTAAGTTTTTTTTTCTTCTAAGATTGCACTGAATTGACTAAGATTTTTGCTTATTAAGGTAATGGATGTAGTTTGAACTTCCTCTGTTAGCAAAAAGTACCTATCATTGTTATCATTCTTTACAATGAGAACAAAAGTCCTTGATAACAACCCCAAGGTAATAGAAAGTCCCCAGAAGAATTACTTTTGAGTCAAAGGGATAATAATGATGAACATAATAACTGCTACCACATATTATACCAAAAGCTTTATGTCTCATTTAATTCCTTCAAGAACCCTATGAGGAAATTTGATGATCATTACCCTAAGAGGGAATTTTATGTCCATTCAATAGATGAGGAAACAGAGTTCAGAGAAGTTAAGTAAATTATGTAAGGCCACACGGCTTCAAGGTTATAAAGCTGAAATGCAAACTCATGTCTATTTGGCCTTAACACTCTCGTGTTAAGCAAGATTTTTTTTTTCTCCTTTAAAAAGCTTAACATTAAGTCAAAACTAAGTCAAAACTATTTTGTTGTACTCATTTGGTTTTGAAATTGATATATTTATGTACTACATAATCAGGATCTTGAATTAACCAGAAAGCACATTTTCTAGTCATTTGTCCACACATCAGTTCATTTCATAAAGTAAAGCATGACTAGGAGACACCTGGTGCATTACTAACAGCAGGAGTTAAAAAGTAATAGTCCCTTGGTACTGTAAGTTACTTTTTACTTGTCTTTCCTTTTTTTTTAATTTCTGAAAAGACTAAATGAGGATTAATTTCTGAGAAATTAAATGATGGCCCATGAACTTCAGTACAATCCTATCAATAGTCCTTCTAGACTAGACATGTATTAAGTGGGTCAGTCTACTCTCAAATGCACCTATGAATTGGCCACTTCAAGTAGATGAGTTAGTAGACAGGCATGACTAACTGTACTGGGTTGGGCTTACTGATTTACTTATAGTACTCATTACTGATATCATGTGGGTCCTTCTCAAATAAATAATGACAAAAATCACAACATAATTATATTATATTAACATTTCTGAGGATCAACTGTGTGTCAGACACTGTGCTGGTTACATACATCACTCCAGGGTTTTTCATCCTTGATACTTCTGACCTTTTAGGCAGATGACTCTTTGTTGTGTGTGTGAGCGGGGGGGGGGAGCTTGTCCCACACATCTACTCATTAGATACCAGTGGCAAATCCGCCCCTTCAATTGTGACAGGCAAAACTAGTTCCAGTTATCACCAAGTGTCTCTTGGCAGGGAAAATCACTCCCTGTGGAGACCCTTTCTGTTACTTCCTCAGCAACTCTAGGAAGTAGGTACAGTTAGATAATATTACTGATGAGAAAACTGTGGCTCCAAAAGTTTTAAGTAAAATGTCTATGGTCTCAGAGATAGTAAGTTACGGAGCTGAAATGCGGAGTGACTGTCTCACTCTTCAACACTGTTATCGTGTTGAAATTCACATGTGAATTTCATCTGCTTTCTTTCCCTTCCTCTCCTCCTTCCCTCCTCTACCTCATCATGGGGGTGGAGCAATGAGAGGGAAAGGGGGTACATATGACGTACTGCACAGAACTTTTATTGTTCCATGGTCTTTTATTTGACAGATTAATTCCATTTTAATGGGAATTCTGGAAACTAATGAAAAAAAATTACAAGTGTTAGATGGTCTATTCTCAGTGTTCTTGAATCTGTCTGATTTAATTCTAACCAATTAGCATGCCATTATGGAGGAATATTATGTTGAGAATCAATATTATGCTAAACACTAATATTTCATTCAATATTAAAAATTTATACAAATGGTAATACAAATGCTTTATTCCTACTTTCTCCAAATGAGAAGAAATGCTTCCATAAGGTGATTCCAATGAAAATGATATCTTCTTAGAAGCTTATTGGTATTACCCTTTACATAGATCATTGCTTAAATGAATCAATAAGATTTATTGAATGAAATTTGTTTATTTTATTATAAGATGCATACGTTTTTTAAGGTATCAAAAATTGTTCTTCTCTTTACACCTATAGTATAATCTTGTGTTAAGATAACAAAAGTACATTATTCAATATTGTACTGTAAAATGAATAAAATAATCTTCCTGCTTATCCTGATTTTAGGATGATTACTTTGTTTTTTTCATTTGAATACTCTACCCTTTATTAATTCAGATATAATCTTAGGCTGGAATTTGAATGTAAATTTATCCAGAGTCTGCATTTTATGTCTTCCTTGCAAAGAGAAATATACCTAGCAACACTGGACTACATCTAGATAGTTTAGTGATGCATTATTTCAAAACTGGATTTCAAATCTACTTTCCAAATTGTGCCCCTGCCTGCCTTTCCCAGTGTCTGACCTTTCATTTTAAATCCCTGGGCCCACCACATGGACCCTTAGAGTTTCCTGGGCACTCCTTTCTGGCCTGTCCTTCTGTTTCTTTTATTCCTAACTTCAGAATCTTTTTCAAGCTTCCAAGATACTTTAGCACTGAAAGATTTCCATAGTTTGGATCTAATGAAGACATTCACAATTTTAAAAATGACTTGTATACTTTAATTCTCAACTTCTCAGTCAAATATTTAAAAATTACCTGAAAACTGTACCCTTAAAAACATCTTTAGGCCGGGCTCGGTGGCTCAGCCTGTAATCCCAGAACTTTGGGAGGCTGAGGTGAGTGGATTGCCTGAGCCTGCCGGTTCGAGACCAGTTCAGGCAACTTGGCGAGACCTTGTCTCTACAATAAATAAAATATTAGCCGAGCGTGGTAGAGCATGCCTGTAGTTCCAGCTACTTGGAAGGTTGAGGTGGAAGAATTGCTGGACTCCAGCAGGTAGACGCTGGGGTGGCTGTGAGCATGCCACTGCATTCCAGCCTGGGTGACAGAGTGAGACTCCAAGTCAAAAAAAAAATCTTTAACTTTGTAAATTATTATGCTCTGTTGCTCAGTGTCAAAATGAGAACATTTTTGCTCCTTATTTTTGCTCCAATTGTGTAGGCAAGATCAGCTGGTTAATATGCACGTACCTTGAAAAGGTTGCTTATAATTCTAAAGGCATATTAGAAGTTAAAAACTGACATGCTAAATCAAATAAAAAAATCACTGACTAAATTAAGCTAACTAAAACATTAGAGATTAGAGGTACATTCAGCATGGTAATCACCATTACAAATAGGAAAATTTGAACTAAAAAAAATATTTAATGGGTTGGCTTTTCTAAAATATTTATAGGATTTTATTAATATGTGTTTATGCATATGGTTATCCTGAATGTTCCTTTAAAAATGAAAGACTAATGCCTTAATGAGAGGCATTATTATGTGAACATATTTGAATCCGGTTTATGAAAAATAGAACTTGAGAATTTGAAATATGTGCATAAAATGCAAATGGATTTAATTAACTGAAAACCCATAAGACAGAACTTCTTCAAATAAGCAATTACTTTGGGGACTAATAGTGTAAATAGGATCCTGATTCATTAGCACAAATACCCATATGAGAAAAGGATCAGCAAATTTTATTCTTTAAGTTATTTATGCACACATGGTAATATCTCATTAGTTTGGGGCTTCAATAAATTTAAAATCTTTTGATAATTTGTTCATGAACTGGGCAGACGTTTACCTTTGCTTTGTTTATTATGAGATAATATATGGTATCTTAAACCTTTATTTTCAGTCTATCTACACTTTTTAGACACAGAATAAACAATTTTCAAGGAACCAGTTTACAAGTTTCTACATACATCCAATCTATATGCTAATAGCAAAACGTTCATATGATTTATTATAACAGGTCTCCTTAAGGATTTCTATTTTACAATGTTTTGTCAAAGTTACTATATGTAGTTAAAGGTAATAAAAGCCACGTTTGTTTAAAAGTCATCTATAAGTCAACCTTCCCACAAATTCAGATATGCCCACCTCCCTAATTCATTGGAATAAAAGAAATTTCACAATATTCACAGGTACACACAGAGAGTTTCTCTTTTAAATATGCATTAGAACATATCAACATATACAGAAAAATAAAATACAATGAAGAAAGAAAATAGCAAACAATTTTTTTGGTTAGACAAAGAAGAGTAAACTAACTGTCCATTTCATTTTAAGTCCTTTCAATGGCACAATACCCCAGAGGAAAAAAAACCTCAATAATGTGATCCTTTCTTCAAAAGCTGATTTCACTCACTTGGGATGACTAGTTCTAATAAGATTTTCCAATTAAATATAGTCAGTGCCCAGGCCAAAAAAGAGTGGATGCTCCAAGCAAGGGCATCTGGGAAGAAGAGAAATGCCGCTGTACAGCAATCTGGCCATTTCTAAATCTTCCTGTATGTGGCCATGGCTTTTCAGAGTCCACATGTCAATTTTCTGCACAAAATGCTACTCACTAAAGAATTTTAAGTGTGTATAAAATGGGTGAAGAGTTATGTTATTTTAATGATCAAAACTCTTATGTAGATGCAAATGCCTCAATTTCTAAACCAGATCAAACATATTCAACTAGAATTTATAAAATCCACAACTGAACTAAAATATGGAATAGTTCTATTTTTTTATAAAACAATCTGAAGACAAATCTGGATAATATTCATAAGTCATGCCATCTTCACATAAGAATCATTTTCGTTTTTTTGTTAAATATTGTAAGAAAATTTATAAAAAAGGGAAAGCCATTCCTGTTCCCCAAATTAGCAGCTACTCACCATATGAAGGGGGAAAGTAAGCTTCAATTCCATTTTCAAAACTTAGTCAAGAATGCTTGATGAAGAGGCCTGTTTCATGTGCTTCTTGGTTGTTACAAAACCTAGGAGGAAGAAACAAGCATGGAATGTTTTATTATCAAAAAGAAAACTGCTCAGACATATTAGTTTCTCATGTCAGCGATTATTTCTGATGAGAATGAAAACCTTGCGAGCCAACTGCAGTCATTTACAAGTCTCTCAGCTGCCCACAAAAGTTAAAGCAAGGAAGGCTGAAGTGACTACTGCTTTTGGAGACAGAATATCTGGGGTGAAATACCACCCACAGTATTTATTTATTTTTGAGTTGGAGTCTCACTCTGTCACCCAGGTTGGAATGCTGTGGCACAGTCACGGCCAACACAGCCTCGACCTGCTGGGCTCCAGCGATCCTTCTGCCTCAGCCTTCCAAGTAGCTGGAACTACAGGCGTGTACTACCATGTCTGGCTTGTTTTTCGATTTATTGCAGAGATGAGGTCTCACCAAGTTGCCCAGGTTGGTCTCAAACCCCTGAGCTCAGGCAATTCTCTTGCCTCGGCCTCCCAAAGTGCTGGGATTACAGGCTTGAGTCACCGCGCCTGGCCCACAGTATTTATATAAGTGAACTTTTTATCCTCAACTTCACCAAAGGACTCAGTTCCCTCATCTCTCAGTTGGAAGTAATAATACCAGCTATCTAATGGGACATTCTGATGACCAAATGAGATGATGTGTGGAAAGACAGTTAGTTAACAGTAAAATTATTTATGACTTGAATTTTTACCTTAAAAAGGTGAGTTCAAAAAAAAAAAGATCAATAAAATAAAAGAAGGAAGCATATATATAGATATATATAGCTCTCTCTCTATATCTATATATATGCTATCTGTACTGGTCAACACAGTTGAAGTGATTGAAGTTTATAATTTGAATTTGAACTTCTTGGTGATTTAGGTGAAAGAAAACATAATTTATTTATTTATTTATTTATTTTTTGAGTTGGAGTCTCACTCTGTTGCCCAGACTGGA